AAACCCTGACCCTATGCACAGCCTTGTGCCAGCTGCTGAGGCCGGGAGTGGGACGAGGTCTCCCCGAGGGTCCTTCTCCTGGCAGGCTCGGGGCTGGGCCAGGGCCAGTTTTCCCTCTACCCCATCCCTGTCCAGAGCCTTGGCCAGCACTGCATGAACAGACTGTCATGATATTCTGTAAATGGGTGAATCGGAATATCCTGGTGTGCACACGCATGTGTATGACGTCTTGTATGTGCACACATGTGTATGTCCTGGTGTGCGCACTCATGTATGACAGCTGGTATATGCACACATGTGTATGACAGCTGGTGTGTGCACACGTGTATGACAGCTGGTATATGCACACATGTGTATGATGTCCTGGTGTGCACACATGTGTATGATGTCCTGGTGTGTGCACACATGTATGACAGCTGGTATATGCACACATGTGCATGCTATTCTGGTGTGCACACTCGTGTATGACATCTGGTGTGTGCACACGTGTATGATGTCCTGGTGTGCACACATGTATGACAGCTGGTGTGTGCACACGTGTGCATATTCTGGTGTGGGTACTTGTGTATGACATCTGGTGTGTGCACACGTGTATGATGTCCTGGTATGTGCACACACAGATGGCATACATACATACAAGTGTGTAAAATGTCCTGGCGTGTGCACATGTGTACGATGTCCACCTCCTGGGGCAAGAGCCAATTCCACTGCACTTCCAGCTGGCACCTGGGGCACCTGACTCCTCACTGGTGCTGTAGGCATTCTCGCCCTCCATGGCAGGTGCGGTGCGGGGAAGGTGCAGCCTGGGGTGGAGGTCGCCCGAGCAGGGTGTTGGGCACAGCCTCAGCCCTTTCTGCTGGGGACCCCACTGGGGGGGGGCAATCCCTGCTTCCTTCTCCCGCCTTCAGTGCACTGGCCAGGGCTGGTGTAACAAGAGCCAGACCAACGAGAGAAACGCACGCACACTTCTTCCACACCACTTTTCTGTGGTGTGGAGTCTTCATAAGGAAATGAAGTCCCAAAGAAATAGCCCGACTGGTGGCTGTTGACGGGGGTCTGATGGAGAGTGGGAGGCTGGGGACAGAGGTGACCGGGACGGGGGCATTGCGCAGCGGGTCTGTGCAGACGTCTCCGTACCCCCCCCCCCCCCCCGTCTGCACAGCCGAGCTGTTCCTTTCCTCTGGGAACAGGGTGGGCGCCTCTCACGTGAGGGTCTGCCCGCCTGCTTCAGGTGCAGGTCAGAGTGCTTTCTGGGGGCGGGCGTTTGCCCAGCGGTGAAGATGCTGCCTGGGATGCCCGCAGCCCCTGTCTGAGCGGGATCGAGTCCCGGCTCGGCTCCGATTTCAGCTTCCTGTAGTGCGCACTCAGGGAGGCAGCAGGGGATGGCCGGCCCACGTGGATGCAGCCCTGACACCCACACGGGAGACCTGGATGCAGCTCCTGCCTCCTGACTTCTGCCGGGTCCAGCCAGGCTGGTTAGGGCCTTTGGGACATAAAGCAGCGGAGGAGAATCCTGTTTTTCTCTTTGCCACTCATGTAAAAAGAATCATCGTCATCTGCTTTCTTTCTTTTTCTTTCTACAGGCAGAGTTAGACAGTGAGATAGAGAGAGAGAGAGAGGTCTTCCTTTTCTGTTGGTTCATCCCCAAAGTGGCTGCTACGGCCGGTGCACTGCGCTGATCCAAAGGCAGGAGCCAGGTGCTTCCTCCTGGTCTCCCATGCGGGTGCAGGGCCCAAGCACTTGGGCCATCCTCTACTGCCTTCCCAGGCCACAGCAGAGAGCTGGACTGGAATTGGAGCAACCGGGACTAGAACCCGGTACCCATATGGGATGCCGGCGCTGCAGGCGGAGGATTAGCCAAGTGAGCCACGGCGCTGCCCAATCATCTGCTCTCTGCATGTGCTGTTCTGCAAATTCGCTCAGCACCGCACGGTGCCGTACTTGGGGGCATGAACTCAGCTGCCACACGGAAAGCAGGCCTGAAAATAAACATGTCACTCGTCCTCCATGAACTTCCTGAAGCCCCCTTACACTTGGTCATCCATTTTCTTTTTCTTTTCTTTTGAAAGATTTACTTGTTTGAAAGGCAGAGTTACAGAAAGGAGAGAGAGAGATCTTCCGTCTGCTGGTTCATTCCCCAAATGGCAGCAACGGCCAGGGCTGGGCCAGGCTGAAGCCAGAAGCTTGGAATTCCTTGGGGTCTCCCACGCGGGTGCAGGGGCCCAAGGATGTGGGCCATTGTCCACTGCTTTCCCAGGTGCACCAGCAGGGAGCTGGACGGGAAGTGGCGCAGCCGGGACTCCCCGGCGTCATGAGCAGCAGCTTCATGTGCCACGCCGCCAGCCCCGCACCCGTTTTCACAGCAGCAGTGTTCACAAAAGCTAAACGGTGGAGACGCCCAACACGCCCGTCAACAGAGGCACAGATAAACAGACGTGGTCCATCACCCCACAGAACCGGGACTAGAACCCGGTGTGCCGGCACCACAAGGTGGAGGATTAGCCTAGTGAGCCGCAGCGCCGGCCCAGGAGTGCAATTCTGACCCGGCTCCAGCACCAGTGACCTGGGCCTCACCACGCTCAGTCACAGCAGCTGGACACACACGACCCCTCTCAGGGTCAGGGAAAGGGATGCGAGACGGAGCCGGGGCAGGGCATCGGGCGTTGCTGCGGTGACGGTCACACCACGCTGTGACGGAGCTGGTGTCACAGAGCTGTGTGCTTACAAAGGGCTCGCGTGCCAAGTTTCCTGTCACGCGTATTTTACCACAATTTAAAGCAAAGGCCAGGAAGGGGCCCGTGGCAGGGCCTCGGGAGGGGAGCTGGGGACCTCTCAGAATGTGGGGGCCACGTTCTGTGGCCTGGCTCGCATAGGCCTCCATGGGGAAGAAGGTCAGTGCACAGCCAGGCCCCGATGCTGCTGCACCTGGAAGCTCCTGGTAGCCCTCTGAGCCACACCCACCTCTGCACCTGCCCACCTGTGGCCTCACTGCACCCTCCCAGTCCTGGAGGAGGGAGGCCGAGGTCAGCACCCGGCACCCTCAGTGGCGCCAGGCTGTGGACATGAGACGGTTCCAGGGAGCAGGCAGTATTTCGGTTTGGGGACCGGGCTTGGGTCTCATTTGCTCCGTCAGCACCAAGGCACACACCACGAGCGACGGCGCCTCCTCCCCCTCACCCAGGTTCCCTCTGAGCTCCCCGCCCACCGCCTGCGTCCTGCTCCTTCCACCCCGGAACCCCCACTCGCTCTGACCAGCAGACGCCAGCCCTGCGCCGCGGCCTCAGGGCCGTGGTCTTGGGCGTCTGACGGCCCCACACCAGAATGCAGGTTCCAGACCTCTCTGGACGTTTCCTCTTCTGCGATGTGGGAACAAAACTCACTCACTCCTGGGGGGCAGAGGGTCCCCTCAAACTTGCAGCGGGTGCCTGACTCACAAAAGGTGGCCATGACAGCCAGGAGGCAGGAACTCAACCCAGGTTTTCCATGTGGGTGACGGGAACCCAGCACCTGCCGTGTCCCAGGGTCTGCAAGAGCAGGAGGCTGGTCAGGAGCCAGGGACGGAGATGGAACCCAGGCAACCTGATGTGGAATGTGGGCGTCTTCACCGCCAGCCAAACACCCAGCCCTGATTCCGTTTCTTGATTTTTCAAGCACTATGTATGAATGTTGTATACCATTATGTATTATAAAATGTCACGACTGAGCCCTCACCCACAACCTCCCTGGCACACACACCTTCTAGGGCCCCTAGAAGCTGCTCAGATTGGCTGCACAGCCACACCATCACCCCAGGGGCTTTCTTTGCCTGTCTTCTTTGTCTGATTTTCAGCTTCCTGTGTCCCCTGCATTCTCTTTCCTGACTTTCTCCCTTGTTTGTCTGGAGCACATTCTGTAGTAGCTACCTGGGGAAAAGAGAGTGTGAGAAGCAAAAGATTTCAAGGACTCACGAGCCTAAACATGTCTTCACTTTTCCCTTCCTGTTCCACTGAGACTTGGCTGGATGCAAAAGCCTAGACTAGAAATCATATCCCCCCCCCCCCTCCCCGAATCCAGCAGATACTCCTTCACTTGTGTACTTGTATTCTGGCTTCAAAATTCAAGATCTGCTTTGAGAATTTTGACACCATTTGAATCCCTGATCCTTTGTTGGTGACCTGTATTCTTCCTCTTTGGAAGGTTTTAATTTTATTTCCTTTAAGATGTCCTGAAACTTTGTGACGACAGGCTTCAGGCACAGGTGTTTGGTGCAGCAGCTTGAGCTGCATCTCAGGACAAGTGCATCCCATACCCGAGTCTGGCTTGGGACCTGGCTGCTCTGCTTCCAATCCCACTTCCTGCTAATGCACCCAAGAAGACAGCAGGTGATGCCTCAAGTACTTGGGTCCCTGCCACTGGGTAGAATTCTGAGCTCCTAGCTGTGGCTTGGCCCAGCCCTGGTTGCTGTAGCCATCTGCAGAGTGAACCAGTGGATGCAACATCTCTTTCTCTGCCCCTCCCTCTGTCATCATGCCTTTCAAATAAATAAATCTTTTAAATAAAATCTCTGTATAGATGGTATCACAATGTATTTATTCTTTTGCCATCTGTTTCTTTACTCAGCATTGTTTATGAGAGTCATGCACTTCTTATTTGAGAGGCAGAGAGAGACAGACGGACATGGAGCCAGGCAGAAGCTGAGGTGGGAACTCAGTCTGGGTCTCCCACGTGGATGATGGGGCCCCAAGTACCTGAGCCGTCAGGAGGCAGTGAAGCTGAGTACGGAACCCAGGAACTCTGACACGGGATGCGGGCATCTTAGCTGGCGTCTTAACTCCCAGGCTCTCTTCCTCTGGGCAGGTGGGCTTGGTTTTTCCACTGGCCCTGAGGTGTGTGGGCTCCCAGAGCAGCGTAAAGTGCTCCGACAGCACCACGCCGCTCCCGCCCGCCCAGTTCTGTGCCGACACATCTCAGGACAGGGGCCACCGCAGTGGTGTGAGTGACACACAGGCTCCACGCAAATCTCCATCTTTACTGATTTAATTCTGAAGTATAACACGTCCTGGGGTGACAGCAAGTGTCTCTACCTCTGCCAGGGCGAGGGCACAGAAGTCCACCGTGGGGGCCTGAGAGCTCTGAGCTCAGAGAGGTGGCAGGAGGGGCGTGTGTGGACCCTGACACACACACACACACACGCACACGCACACCCATGCACACTCTCTGCTCAGCCAAAGGCTTTCTGCAGGCATCTGCCCGCACTCGGAATGATGTCTTTTTCACGCTCCACCAGACCCACTGAAGAGAAGTGGATCGATGTCTTCGGAGAGCCCCGTGCCTGGCTGGGGACCGCGCCGAAGGCGGCTCTTCCCGGAGGAACTCCTGGTGTTCACCAGAACTGGGCCAGTTCCTCAAGCTGAAGAAAGCCTGAGCCACAACAGGGGTGGGTGTGTGTGTGATGGGTGGGGTCAGGGAGGGCGGCAGGGCCCTGACAAAGAGCCAGGCTGCGGGGCGGTGGGGGGTTCCTGGGCGGCCCCGCCACTCTAGGCTCCAACGCCGGCCCCGAAGTGCTAAGCTGAGCTCTGCTGGGTGGCCCAGGGTTCAGTACTTCCTGCATTAGCATGGATGCAGAGAGAGCCCGCCTGGTGGCCGCGCTGACACAGCAGCCAGCATGGGAGAGCCCCACGCAAGCATCTCCAGGCCCCCAGCCCCACCTGAGGCCCACCCAAACTTAAACACAGGGTGGATGGGGCCGGGGGGGGGGGGGCTGAGGGGTGCGGTCAGCAGGGCGTGTGCAGGAGGAGGGCCCCCTGCAGAGAATGAGCACAGAAAGGCACTGGGGGGGGCGGCAGCCTCAGCCCCCCCCCCCCCCCCCCCCCGCAGGCTCCCGGAGTCAGAGGTCGCAGCCCCTGGGGACGCCAGCGAGGGCTCCAGCTTCTCTCTTGAGATCTTCCACCGGCAAGTTCGCTCCAGGCACCGGGGCAGGCCTGGGGACCCCAGGGGCCACGTCAGCAGCGGGGACTGGCCCAGGTGTGTCTCTTGCCTTTGGAGGAGAGAGGAAGGCCACACGTAGTGAGCACAGGGGGCCCTCAGTGACAGCCTGGTTTTGGGGAACGAGGGGCACGTGACGGCAGGGCAGGCAGGCTGTTTGCCGGGACAGCGCCTGGTGCAGCTGGGGCCCATCGTGTTCCTGCACGGTTTTCTCCAGCTTGGGTGAGAGGAGCTTCAGGTGCGCCCCTCCCTAGCTGACGATCCCAGGCTGCGGGATAGGGGCAGTGGGCACGGGAGCCTCGGACTCTCGCCCTTCTCCTCTGGGTGGCCTGGTTCCCACAATGGGGACAAGAAGCCTTCCGGCTGCTCTGCCAACAGAACGGAAGGAAGCTGACCTTGGGGATGCTGGGCAGGTGGGGCTCACGCCACCCCCCCCCCCCATTCCAGGGGCTCTGCAGTCTCTGGGTGGGTGGATCTGGGTCCCTCAGGTGCATGGTGGGTGCTGCAGTTCCCAGCCCCGGTGCTCAGAGGCCCTGACAGGGTGTGCAGAGCACGGACGGCAGGGACCACTGCTGCCACTGCTGAGGGGGTGTGCATGGTCACCATTCTCATTTCAGCCCCCTCGTGGGTTACTGTGGGCAAGCACAGGCCTGGCAGGGCACTCGGTACACGGGGAGGCTGGTGACGTCACCTGGCACTCTGGGAAGGGAGGGGGAGGCCTGCGAGGGGCAGCTCGGTACTCACCAGCGCCCTTTGGGGCGGCCCGGGCCGTGGTGCCCTCCTGAGGGTCTGCAGCGCTCACCCCTGTCTCGCTGGCCAGGCTGCTCTGGCTCCCTGAGAGGTGGCTGGGCGGGCGGGCGAGCCCCGTCCTGGGGGAGTCCAGGCCAGCCCCTGTAACAGACCACGCGAGGGCATGAGCAGCTGAGACTGGGCAGCTCCGAGCTCCAGCGGCTCAGCGGCGGGGATCCCAGGGAAGCGGGGGGACAGTGTCCCCTTGGCCTGCTGAATCCCGTGGGAGCCTGGCTACCAGTCCTTGCATTCGAGGCATCACCAAATCTTCTCCAGTCTTTGGGCCCTAATGGGCCACAGCTGGGTCGGTGTGAGGGGCAGGGCAAGAGCTGTCGCGGTAGAGGAAGGGGAGGGTGATGCTGCCTGGACCCCAGGGCTGGCGGGTTTCCTCTGCACTCTTCTAGAGCAGAGTGATCTGCGTGAAGAGGCCTAGGAGGCCGCGTGGTCCAGGACGGGTCTCACCTCCTGTACCCCTCTGCCTGCTGACAGAGCACCTGCAAAACCGCCTGCGGAGGATTCCGAGCCCATGTCCAGGCTCCGGGGGAAGAGTGTTATGATCAACTAGTGATGCCTGCTGTGGGCATAGGAGTAGGGAGTGGAAGTGCATGTGCCAGGCACTTGCCATCTCTGATCCAGCCCAAGTTTCCACTCTCCGTAGAATTCCTCCCCCATCAGCTCTGACAGCTTGCCCGGTCTTGGTCCCCAGGACGGTACCCCAAGGTCTTTAATTCTGGATTGGGGCAGTTATTATAAAGCTCTGTCTTCTTATGTGCTGAAACCAGCCTCCCCGAAATGTCCAGCCCAGGAGTGACCCCTGCCTGACTCTCAGCTCTCCAGGGGCGACGTCTCAGCAGGGAGACGCTCATGGGTGAGCCTGGGGGGATCCCAACTGTGCAGGCAGAGGGCGCGGGGGCCTGCAGGGCCTCCTCCCCTCCCCTGCACATGTGAGGGCCCCTTCCCACCCCGCTCTGCTGCTGCTCGTCCCAGGCCCAGGCCCACTCCTCTCCCCTGAGCTCGAGCTGCTCCTTGGACACTGGCTGGGGAAGCCCCGACCCAGAGACAGCAAGGCTGAGCCCTATCTGGGGCTTTCTTAGTTCCCCCACTCACCTGATTGCCCCCAGGGTTTGTCGCCTTTCAGGTCCTTGGCCCCAGTGGGTGGGAGTCTGTCCTCCTGGCTGGAGGAGCTGACGTCGGAATCGCTGTCACTGTCACTGGAAGCCACTGGAACAGACAGACATGGGCACAGGAAGCTCCCCAGCCACTGCCAGCAGGCACCGTGGACAGAGCCATGACAGAGCGGCCTGGGACCTCGGCCAGCCCTTCTGTCTGGGGCTCAGGTACCATATCCCGGGTGCTCCTGAGCTGAGGAGGCCGGGACTCGGGCTCAGGACACCTGCGCCAGCAGGGAGGGCTCAGCCCTTGGCTGGCCTCTCCGTGTGTCTTCCTTGTGGCAGGACCAGGCCCTCCCGCCGAGGGAGAAGTCGACTGTCACTTGCTGTGCAGGCAGGGGCCTCTGAGGCCTGCCCCGGGCAACGCTGAGCAGTTCTGGGAAGGACAAGCAGGGCTGACCCAGTGAGCACGCCAGGTGCTTCGCACGTGTGGCTCTGTGCAGGAAACAGCGTCAGCCCCATTTCACAGGGGAGGAAACTGAGGCACCTGGAAGTGGAGGGGCCGGGATGCTAACCCCACTAGGCTGGCTCTGCTGTGCTCGTAACCCCTCGGATGCCACACGGAGCCGGCGGGCCTGGGTCCTTGTCCTGGTTCATCTGGGGCTAAGGCTTGGATGGGTTTGTCTCTGCCCAAACTCAGGTTGGAGCTTACTTCTCCCCGAGGCGGCGTCAGGAGCTGATCAGCTGGTGGGGGTGGGCACTGCCCTCCCGAGGGGACCCACGGCCTTTCCCGAGACGGGGTTAGGTGCTGAGGAAGCGAGCTGCTACCGCGAGAGCGAGCTGCTAGGTGGCGAGGTCTCCCTGGGTGTTCTGGTCTCTCGGGCACACGCTCCTGCCGTGTGACACCCCCGCCGTGTGGTGACCCGGCACGAGGCCCTTGCTGGATGTCACTGCCCCAGCTTGAACTTTCTGGCTGGGCAGCCCACAGTGGGAGTCAGCATGGCTCCTCTCATCCTACATTCTATCACAGCTATCAACCCAGAAACCCAGCGCCCTCGCCAAGCTCCGGGGCCCACACAGCCTCGTGCGTGGTGCTGCTTCCGCCTCTCGCAGCGGGACCGGGAGCTTGGCAGCTGGCTGCAGACCCCCGTCGGTGTTCCTGGTCCTCCCCCGTTTCTCCCCGCTGTGCCGCCTGCTCATGGCGAATCTGACAGACTTCGCTAAGCAAATCTGTCCTCAAGACTTCCCGAAGCCTTGGTTTTAATGAAACGACTCTGGCTCTTTTCATCAATTTATGTAACATCTGGTTAAGTGACAGGATGATAATAACAAGGCCAACTGTCCGGGAACGGAGGGATCAAGGGAGACAGCCCTGGCTGGCGGGTGTTTTCCGCAGGGGATGCTGGGTTGGGGGTTTTTTAGGACTGACTGAGCTCTTTGCACCCAGCAACGTGCTGGCTTTTTAGCGAGATCCTCTCACTCGATCCCCCCAGCGACCCTGAGCCGTAGGTGCCCATCTGGCGGGAGATGAAACAGGAAAACAAATCAATCTCTACCGGGGTGGCTAATAGGTTTTGTCTGATCTGCCCTGTCTGGAGCCCAAGAGAATCGGAGCCTGCATTCAGGCTCAGCCGGTTAGGGAAACCCGTGTGGGGCCAGGGAGGGGAGAGGGGCAGCTTCACCCAGGTCCACGGCCTTCTGGGCAGTCCTTGTGCTTCCGGCACTGCTGTCTGTTAGCTGGGAGGAGGGGCGGCCACAGGTCACCAAGCAACCAGAAGGGTGGGGCTGGCTGATGGCTGGGGCTCTGACATCCTTACCCTTTGTTCCTGGGGCCGGCGGCCGGCACACAGTAGGTGCTCCCCGTAGGTCTGACGATGACCACATAGCTCGTGCCCCTCTTTTGTTCTTGGGTTCTGCTGATTTTACCGCCTACATGGTTTTGGATCAGCTGCCTCCTGGCTACTGTCACTGCTGTCACCGGCCTGGCTTGGTTCAAGGCCTCAACTCCTCCAATCTGGTCGCCTGTGCTGACGTCCCCCGGGGCCCTGCTTACAGGCGTTTCCCTGCCAGGGACGCCACAGTGGAAGCACAACCCCAGCTGCCCCCCACTGCCTGCAGGGCCACGGCCAGGCCCTGCCTCTGTCTCCTTCTCCAGCCGTGCTCCATGCCCCTTACTCTCTCACCTGCGCACCACCGCCCAGGGAAGCCTTCCCCAGTGCCCAGGGCCCAGTGGTGGAACACTCCGTTCATCCAGCTGCAACTGCACACCAACGTCTGGGCCTGCTGTCTGCCTCCACGTCTGGGGCCCCACCAGGCCATGGAGCTCGCTGGGGCACCGGGGCAGAAGGCCCCCGGGGTCCCCTTCCTGGAGACCTGGCCACCGGGTGGGGCGGGAGTGGTGAGCACACCACAGCTCTGGCCTCAGCTGGTTCCGTGACTGCACCTGTCTCTGCCGCTGCTTTGCCCCCTGCTTGCCACGGGGAGCTCTGCTTTGGCGTTTGGGGCTTTTGTGCCGTGGGCTCGAGAGGGGATGGGGAGGAAGGGAGGTTGTGGCTAGGCGCCCCCTTCACAGCACTTGAAAAATGCAAGTAAAACCTTGTCGTCTCTCGAAGCTGCCCTGCGGGTCCTGACGGGGCTGCTCTGACCATGAACCCACCGAGGCCGGCCCTCGTGCAGTCAGTGCTGTGAGCATTTGCGTAGTTTGACTCACTCGCTGGCTGACTAAGCAGCAACCTGTGGGTCCCCAGACAAAAGGGGAGGAGGTGGACTGGGGGGGCGGGGACGCCTCGAGGCCCTCGGGCCAGCAGCTGGCGTGTGCCTCCCATGGGGGAGGGGGTGCTGGCACTGATGGCCCCTGGAGCAAGGGAGGGTGAGCAGAGCAGCCGGGAGGCCGCAGGGGCCGTGGCGGGATGGAACTCCACACTGGCTTCCCTGTGTCTCCAGCAGGGCTGCGTGTTCCTGACTTGGGGTGTCCCATCTCCTTGGGGCTGGCATATGTGAGCCCCATCTTTCAGGGGCTCCAAGGTGTTGATGCCCAGATCCTCTGGCGCTGGTGGGTGCAGGCCAGAGGGCTTGGCAGGAGCGGCCGGGCCAGGCTGCCCCAGGTCCCAGGTTCTGGGGGCGAGCTTACTCGCCCTAATTCTCAACCCTGCATCCTGGTGTGTCACCACCGCACCTGTATGATGTGGTCACAGAGTTGGGCTGGGCCACACTACGCTGGGAGAACAGCACTGGCCTGAGATACTCTGTCCCCAACAGCCCCCCGGAGGTGGGGACAGGGTGCCATCCTGCCCGGACCCCTGGCTGCACGAGGGGTGAAGGAAACAGGCAACCTCCCCCAGGGCAGGCAGAGTGCTGAGGGCCACAGCCAGGGGACGCAGCCTTGGGTGGTAGCTGAGCTCCAGGGTGTCACAGAGGAGGGCCCACCTGGCACTGGGGGAGGCCGGCCTCCAGCACCTCTGCCGTTTTAGGCCGGGGCCTCCACTCTGTGGCTCTGACCCGGACGCCTCTCCTGATCCCCTCTAACAAATCCCCCCGAGACGCGAGTCCCAGGAAGTCGCACAACAGCCAGTGCCTGGCCCAGGGGTACTGTCACCCTCACCCACGGCCGCGGCTTGCTCGGCTGCCGCTCCTTTGCGCCCTGAGAACGTCGCACAGAGCCCAAACCCTGGGGAATTCGCCATGTGGCTGCCGTCGCCATCTCAGCAGCTGCCACCGGCACTCTTCTGGTCTGGTAACAGAGCTTTTAGGCCCATCAATCTTCTGGCCCTTGCTCCTCCCTCCTCCACAAAACAGTCTGGGAATCTGTAGGCTGCTGGCTTTTTTTTTTTTTCCCCTTCTCCTTTAATTCCCCAAAGGCTGAGCGTGGGATGGCTCGGCGATGAGCTCCTGTACCCTGCCCACGCCTGATTTTTCAGGTTGAAGTTGGGAAACCCCCGGGGACCATCCCCAGGGCCTCTGGAGGAGGCTTCACGGGGTGGCCGTGAGGTGGGCTGAGGGGGCTCCCCTGCTCCCCCTCCATGGTGGCCGGAGCTCCCAGGGCCTTTGCAGGGGGTGGGGGTACAGCGCCACTGGGGTCTCTGCAGGGCTGCCCCACTCTGCCAGGCACTCACGTCCTGGGTGGGCAGCCCAGTGCCAGCCACGCCCACTTCTCTGGGGATAGACCAGCGTCTCCCCTGCCCAGCTCTCACTCTCGGATGGATTTGCAGTCTGACTGTCACCATGGAAACTCAGAGTTTTGGTACATGAAGGGGGGGGGTTTCCATTTTTCTGTCTTTCCTGACTGCTTCAGAGGACAGCTGCTGGCCTGTGGTGACGGCTTGCCTGGGACAGTCTGGGGGTGGGTGGGACACCGTGCTGGGAGCTGGGGAGCCACTTCCCTGTCTGCTTGGTCACCACCTCTTTTTTTTTGGTTTGTTTGTTTGAAATTTTTATTTATTTACTTGAAAGGCAGACTTAGAGACAGAGGAAGAGACAGAGATCTTCCATCTGCTGGTTCACTTCCCAAGTGGCCTCAATGGCTTATGGCTACACCACACCAAAGCCAGGAGCCTGCAGCTCCATCTGGGTCCCCCATGCAGGTACAGGGGCCCAAACACTTGGGTCATCTAATCTTGCTTTCCCAGAAGCATTAGTAGGGCGCTGGATTGGAAGTGGAGCAGCAGGAACTCCAACCAGTGCTCGTATGAGATGATACTGTATCACAACGCCAGGTTCCACACTCCTCTTTTTAAAAAACCTATTTCTTCATTTGACACACAGACACGCACACACACACACACACACACACACAATCTGTCCGCTGGTTCACTCCCTAAATAGCCACAACTGCCTGGTTGGGGCCAGGCCAAAGCCAGGAGCCAGAAACTCCATCTGGGTTTCCCACGTGGGTGCAGGGGCCCAAGCACTTGGCCATCTTCCACTGCTCTCCCAGGCGCACTAGCAGGGAGCCGGATGGTAAACAGAGCAGCTGGGACTTGAACCGGCACCCATGAGGGATGCTGGCGTCCCAAATGGCGCTCACCCTGCTGTGCCATCATCCAGCCCCTGGCAACCACCCCTCTCCGTGACCTCAGGCGTCTCTCCAGGCTGAGCCAGCTGCCATGTTAGGTG